TTCATAAATTGTCTTAATTGGTAGTTCAACTACCAATGGCAAGTCTTCAAATCACTTTCCAATGTCAGCCACTCCATTATTTTCTTGATTTGATACTTGAATCTTCTTTGTATTGCTTCTTGTAATTGCTCGTTCGGGTACATGGAAGTGATCAGTTGTTGGATTCATATCATCCCCCCTTTCTTTAGAAGGATTTGTCCTCAAATCAAATTCTTCGTTCTTTCCGGACAAGAACTGAATATTGTTTTGTTTTTTTTTTCTCTACTAATATATTTTTTTCTCATTTTTTTTTCACACCTTTGTTTTTCTTTCTTGGTTTTCACTTCTTCTTTGCCCCTCACTTTTCTCTTTTTTTCACTCTTATCTCTCTCTCTTACTTTTTTTTCTTCTCTCCACGGTTGTTCTTCATATTCTTTTCTTTTCTTCTCTAATTTCAATTGGTCACAATGTACTTCATATGGAGACAACGGAAGTAAAGTAAATTTCTTCCCACACAAAGTTAAAGTATACTTGTTCGTCAAACCATCAAATGTTACCTTTCTATCATATTGCAAAGGTCGGCCGAACAAGATGTCCCCCGCATGCATTGGTAAGATATCACAAAGGACTTCATCTTTATATCTTCCAAGAGTAAAAGGAATAAGAGCTGGGGAGTTCACCTTAATTTCTTCATTGTTTGTCAACCATTGAAGTTTGTACGGTTTTGGATGTGGATGGACAGAAAGTTGAAGTCTTTTTATAAGGAAGTTGCTTACCACATTTGTGCAACTTCCACTATCAATCACCAAGCTGCATGGGTTTCCTTTGATCAAACATCTTGTGTGGAACAAGTTTTCCCTTTGATATTCAAAATTCTCTTCCTTGATTTGAACATTGAGTACCCTTCTTGTGATCAAAGATATGGAATTACCTTCTTCAACATACTCATCATCATATGCTACGATTTCTTCCACACGCTGTGAATCATGATCCTCATATTCATCATCTGAATCAAGTATACCATTCCTTATCACCATAACTTTTTTATTAACACACTCTTTGCTCATGTGTCCAAACCCTTTGTACTTCCAATATTGAATAGAACTAGACTTCTCCTGTACCGTCTTTGAAGCTTCATTCTTTTTACAATTGGAACTCTCAGCCTCCACCCTTTTAGAGCCACAAACTTTTCTTTTGGTGACAACAATTCATTTCTATTCACAAAATTATGTTTGTTCCAAGTTTTAGAATTTGAAAAGGTGTTAGTTTGTGATGTGTACCTTTTTGAATGCTCTTTTTCTTCCTTCAATTGGTCTTCAATTTTGAGAGCATAATGATACATGTCTTCCAGAGATGGTGGTGGATTTTTGTCAACAATATGAACAATTTCTCGATTCAAACCTCCAAGAAATCTAGACATGGTATCTTCTTCTTCTTCTCTAACATTTGCTCTTTCCATCATAGTCTTCATCTCTTGATAATATTTTGCCACACTTTTTGTTCCTTGCCTCAAACGTTGCAATTTAGTTTTCAAATTTCTTTCATAATGTTTTGGAACATACCTTTTTTCTCATAGCTTCTTTAAGTTCTTTCCAAGTCTCTATTGGAACCTCCTCTTTTCTTCTTCTCTCGGATTTGAGATGTTGGTACCAATCACCGGCATGATTGGTAAATTCGGCAATAGCAAGTCTCATCTTCTTATTTTCACTATAGGTGTTGCAATCAAACACATGCTCTATCTTTCTTTCCCATTGCAAGTATGCCTCAGAATCTGTCGTTCCACAAAAGAGTGGGATTTTGAGTTTAACTCCCCCATCTCTATCTTCATGTACTCTTTCCATCCTTCTAGGTTGTATAATAGTTGCAGGTTATTTCTTCCTCTCCATCTTCATTCAACTTGTCTTTCTTGTACTACTATACCTTCATCTTCTTGTAATGCTCGTTCTTGTCTTTGTTGTTGCGCCCTTTTTTCTTGTAGATCTTCAATCATCATTTCCATCATACCTTGAATTGCTTGAAGAATGATTGTATTAAGATCTGGTACTGGTGGAACTCTTTCTTCATTATGTGACATTTTGTTATCAAGGGACCTCTGAACTCTTCTCACAAAAATTTCACTCAGGGACACTCATGTTTAACACTCAAAGGTAGGCTTTTGGTACTAGCTCAAGAATGTAAAGGCTAGGTTTTTTTTTTTGGTGCAATCTTGCTTTAAACTTGATTATAACCAATTGATCAATTCTAACAAGCTAAGACTAATATCTCAAGGATCAAGAGCTTGAAAATAAATGATAAGAACTTAATATATCTATATATATATATATATATATATTCTCAGAACTGATTTTATTTTCTACTAATTCTTCTTCTTCTTTTTTTTTTCGATAATCTGAGAGAGAGAAAAAAAAACTTGATAGAAAAAAATAACAATAAAGATATTTCACCTCTAGAACGGCCAAAGAACGTCGACAAAATGCTCTGATACCAAATGATAAGCACCTACTATGCTAGATTTTTGCAAAGCTAGAGGCCCTTTTAGAATCCTTGCAAAATGTTCATAGAGAAAACTAACTTAACGGATTGATTCCAACCAAGAGGTTGTTAGAAGATTAATGACTCTTAGATTGAACTTGGAATCTAGGATGGTCACTCTTAGATACCAAGACAATTCACTTCAGAATTAGCTTGATCAAAACTAATTCAATAAATCGGTTTAAACATCAAACCTAAAGCAAGGTTTGAAAAAGAATAATACCAAAAAGTATCAAGAAAACACAAAGGTTTTGTTTGTATTCAACAATTCATCCCCAAACATGAATATTACATGTCTTTAAATAGACCCAAAAGTTAACCCTAACGTAATAAAGTTCAACCACCAACTACAAATCACTAATAAATGCTATTAAATACAAAGGGAAGAAAATAAGACATTCATAAATTGTCTTAATTGGTAATTCAACTACCAATGGCAAGTCTTCTAATCACTTTCCAATGTCAGTCACTCTATTATTTTCTTTATTTGATACTTGAATCTTCTTTGTATTGCTTCTTGTAATTGCTCGTTCGGATACATGGAAGTGATCAGTTGTTGGATTCATATCATCATGGCTTGTCATATGTGATTCTTCTTCTTAGAAATTAGGTTGTGTTTGACATCACAACTATTATTCCTCTGTTTTAGTTGGGTTCACAATTGTTTTTTTATTTTTTTATTTTTATTATTATTTTTTTTAAACTGCTATTAATTCTTATCCGATTTTTTGTAACCCAAACTAGTAACAGAAACCTACGTAATTGCAACCAAGTAAAAGAGAGAAAATCTAAGTTACCCATAAGCTTTTCTATGTCTTCTTTCCCGTTAAATTTGATGAGGCCCAAATGTGCCATTATTATTATTATTTTTAATTATTTTTTTTTTCTTCTTCTTTTCTCTCTAGCAGAATTGCTTATCTCTGCCTGGGAAAGATGAGAGACGTGAGAGATTTGTAGAGAGGGAGCAATCAGTTGCCATTTTTTATTATTATTATTATCTTATTTTTATTTGTAGGGTGTTACCGTCACTTTGTAGTTCTTTTCAAATTACTCAGCTCTACGCTAGATGACATTTTAGATCTACTCTCGAGAGTAGTGTATTACACACATCATGCCCTAAAATTATCACGAACTTCACGAATGCTTGATAATACTCTAACCATGCCTTATGTAACTTTTGACCTCTCACCACGCATGGCTTCATCATTTCTTGTTTTCCTCATCTAGATAGGACGAGGGACAAGATTATTTAATAGAAAGTCAAGCTTCATGTTCTCTTCATCTAGATGCTGTTGCGGGCCCAAGTCTGCGATCGAGTTATGGGTCTCTTGTAAGTGGAAGTAGACGGTTAAAGAATGAGCGTGAACTAATTCAATCCTCCATAGTAGTTCTTAGAAAACATAAATAGAATTTGGTTGAAAGTTGACAAATAAATATTTTTGAAAGGGAAATCATTCATCCATTTTTGTACCTATGTTCTTAAATCTCTTCATTTACTGTCATTTTAAATTGTATTCTATTAGACTAAAATTGTTTAAGTAAGTACGTTTAATCATTTAGATCATAATTTTCAAAAAGGTTATTCAAACATTTTAAAAATATTTTCTCCTGTTTTTTTTTTTTTTTTTTTTTTTTTTTTTAATTTTATTTGTAAAAATAGTCATTTTCTTAAATTAAAAAAAAAAACAATTACCATCCCATTTAATATTTATTTATTTTAATATCAAAGCTAAAACTTTCTTATTATTAATTTAAAAATTATTTTAATGTTAATTTTGATACTACTTATAATTTTGAGTTGTCATGTGTTGTTAAAAGTCTAGAAGAAGTATTACACACCTAAATTGTCTCGGATCTACAGTGATGAGTTTGAATGAAGGTTATTTTTTCCTCAGACCCGAAAACCTTTCTTTTCCTATTGGGGTTTGTGCCACGCCACTTCGAAGAGTGAAACGAAGGAAAAGCCTGACCTGACCTTATTGTTAGATCATCCTATTTCGGTGCATGGTCAGGTTCTTAAAGTATGTGCCAGAACAGCCGTGGGTCTACCTTTTTCAAGAATTAGATGATCGTTGGTGAGGTAGCGTATAGGTCTAGGTGGGATGATACGAAATAAAGCAGTTGCCAATTGGCATGCGAAACCTAGAAGGAACTTCCTCTTGAAATATCTCATCCAAATTCCAATTTTACCCTTGAACCTCCATTAATTTAGTATTTTACAAGGTCGTGAAAGTGAAGGTTAAATTCGTACATTCAACAAAGATGGATCGCCAAAGCTTGGATTATAGTAGGAGAAAACTGGGCCGATAATAAAACCAAAATTTGGACATTGAAGCCCAAGCTGGGATATAGCCGAAAAGGAATGGCCCAAGTAGAAAGCCCAAACATTATGGGCCGAATATAACAGCCCAAGAGAGATTGACAAAAAAAAAAAAATATATATATATATATATATATATTTATTTATTTATTAGATTTTGTGTGGAGATAAAATAGCCGTTGCATTATCGGTTCTTGCCTGCGGAATGCCCTCTCCATTTCCCGCAAAAATGTTGCTTCTTCCTTCTCCGCCTTCATCTTCTTCCTCGTGTTTTTCCATTCTTGAATCCAGCCCCCGTCCTCTGCTTCAATTTCACCCCCCTCCCCGCCGGATCTTCCATTTCCGCCCATATGCTCTCAATCCAACCACCGCCCTCGATTCCTTCACTCAGAACTCCGGTTACCTCTTCCGTCTAACCGCACGGGAGGCTGAGTCCTTGGAAGATTACAGCGTCTCCAAGATTGCCGCTATTTATCGGAGGAAGCCGTTCCTTGTTCTTCGGAGACTTCTTCAGGTCGCCTCCACTTTTGGCCGATGGCTAGCTCTTCGATTCATTGATGATTTGAGGGAAAGGTCGGACCTCATGTTCGAGGTGAGGGCTTAATTTCCTTTTTCCTTGGAGGTCGCTTCCATTCGACATGAATTTTGGTTTGTGATTTGCATGAGTTCTTTGCAGGTCAGAGCTTCAGAACTTAGGAATATATTGGTGGAGCTTGGTCCGGTATATGCATCCCACTTTCCCTGATTTATACTGCATATTTGTTGATTAGTCCAGCATAGAAAGAAGGAGATTATAATAGCAACCAATTCAACATAGTTACCATCCTGTCAAGCTTGTGCAGGAAATGGGAGCTTAATTAAATAATCTTAAAATAAAAGCTCACAAACTCTTTAAGGACATCCATTAGCATAAAAACGCTTCTAGACACAAAAGAACATTAGGAACTATATGATCATTGCCTAAGATCCTTCAGAATACATTCTACAGTTTGAATCGGTGCCTACTTGGAGACCGAAACCAGCTTCCAACAAATTTAGAAGTGGAAAATAAATATACATTTTTTTAAATCCTTCCAGCTTCTACGTTTGGTGTCTCTGAGCAGGCTTTGGGGTAGAGAATCAAGTATAAAAAGCTCAAAATACTTGTATCCGTTCTCTTTGAAAGTGCAAGTTCTATGTATTTACCGACAGAATGTCCATTTAATTCAAGATTGAAAATATGTAATCCAGTAAAACTAATTGAGTCAAGCCCAGCTTCTACAGTTTTCCCTTCTGAAATAAATTTCATATCTTACTTGTTGGAAAGAAATCTTTTCACCTATATTATTGTCTACTTGTATCATGGCTTTACTTCGTTATGATTGTCTTGTAGGCATACATCAAAATTGCTCAGGCTATCTCATCTCGACCCGTAAGTTTTATAATTTATTTCTTCAAATTTGCCAAGAAAGTGAATGGCGATATAACTTGTTAATCATATTCGACATTTTGTTTTAATTTGATTGAATTATTCCATGTCTTGTAGTTCTTTCGTTGCATATGCCTTTTGATAATCACTGTAGGAAGAAACCTTGAACATTTGAGTGAATGGTGAAATGAGTCGTTGGCATTTAAAAGTATGTTTATCTTGCAGCATACATAATTTTCTGATTCAAATTCATTTGACTAGGAAATTTTTTATAATTTTATTAGCTTGGTTAGCTTTACCATGGAAATTTGGTTAGACTGTGTAGCTACTAAACCATGTTCTCTCTTTAAAATGTCCAAATGGTTCATCTAAATTTTGTTATTGCTATAGGCCTAAGGTTTGATCTCAATAAGCACATAAGGAAGCTTTAGGAGGGAGATTTGGAAGGAGAGATTTAAAGATTTTTGTTCTTCTTTCATGTATCCCCCACATTACAACTGAAAGAAGAAGGTTTTGTTTTTCAAAGACTTAGCTAAATCCTTTAAAACGTGAGAGCTCTCATCATAATTCTTGAGGAAGTCTTTTATATATCAATCTTTTTTTGAAAAAACCCATATGGACTTGAATCAACCAACTAGAAGGTGGTCAAACCATGCAAATGTGATAACGAGAGAGGAATAATCAACTTGTTCTTCACATCTGAACAATGAACACACCTTCAAATCAAATGCTAAAGTACCTATTATCAACCCAACTCCTTTCAACCACAATAGAAGCAATTACATGCAAACATTTGCCACAAATATCTGAGATTTTTGGTGATATTTTATTTAATGTACTATGCAGGATTTGATACCACCTTCTTATTTGGATGAACTTTCATTTTTACAAGACCAAATAGCTCCGTTCTCATCTGAACTGGCTTTTAATACGATAGAACGAGAACTGAATATACCTCTGGACGAGCTTTTCTCTGAGATATCACCACAGCCTACTGCTGCAGCATCTCTTGGACAGGTTTTTATCTATCAGCATTGTTGTGTTGTTTTTAGGTAAAATGCGAGAGGCCTAAGTAAGTAATAGTTCGATATGATCAGGTATAAAAATAGTGCATAAACATTTCAATTTCATTTTCTATTCTCTATGTCAAGTTTATTTTATCAACTAAACTACAAAAGAGAGAAGATGGTTCATCACATGAATTTTCTCTCTTTTGTCTTTCTCATGGAAGCTCTCACTAACAAAGAATAAACTATTAAGGGGTAGAATGCTTCTTGCAAGTTGAGATGCAAGTTAAGATGCAAAAAAAACACACACACACACAAAGAAACACAAAGGACTGTAAAGAAGCATCACCAAAAGGCTAGATTATGTAGCCTCAAGAAAATAACTACTCATAGTTTGCTTTGTCTTACTAGACAAGTAAATTGGATTTTCTTTTCTAAAATATAGGTTTATCAAGCAAGGCTCCGACGCAATGGACAAGTTGTTGCTGTCAAAGTTCAAAGGCCTGGAGTTCAGGCTGCTATAGCTCTGGATATCTTGATCTTGCGGTATTTAGCAGCTGTATTTCGCAAGGTTGCTAAGTTAAATACTGATCTCGAGGTATGGTAACCTATACACATCAATGTAAAAGAACACGCAAAGTGAAATAATTCTTTTGGTTTTTTGACTGTGTATGCAAATGACCCTTCCCTCAGTTTCTTTAACGACTAACTCACAATCTTGTCCCATATAATTTATCTACTACTTCTAATGTGCAGGCAGTTGTTGATGAATGGGCAACAAGTCTTTTCAAGGTATATATTCCATTCAAAATTTTGAACTCAAAACTAATTTTAAATTAATTTAAATGGCACATCTTCTAGGAACAGACAACGAGTCTTTTAAATGTATGTATTCTATTCCAAAAATCTTGTGGTCCAGTTTCACGGGTAGTGGCGCATTAGTTATATCTAACTCATGAAATCAACCCAAGTAGAGACAACGTTCAAAAGATAGACAGACGTTGACTCTATAACGCCGTTCTCCAGATAAGGTAATTGGAACCAAAGTTCCTTACTCTGATCAAATGCTGGAGGAGACTGGATCACCACATGGTTGAGACACCTGGAAAAATTGAACAGGCGCTATAATTCTTTCCGGAAGAGTTATACTGTCTTTACCAAGGATGAGAATGAGAAGAACACGGGTGATATTCCACCGACATAATCCGTTGGAGTGGGCTCCCTTCGGTCTTTGTATTCCTCTTGACCTTCGGGAGACTGGATCGGGTGAAATAGCACTGACTGAATCTCGCTTTAGGATAGGTGTTTATAGAAAAGTACTCTCATTTGGAGTGGTGGTGTATCGAAAAGTACTCTATCAGGCTTTTGGAGTGGGGTACCTTCAGTCTTTTTGGTGTGGCGTATCCTCTTTTTCGAGTGGGGCACCTTCGGTGTTTTTGGTGTGGCGAATCGACTTTTTGATGTGTAATACACATTGTTTATTACCCACAAAACTTATTACCCACAATTCTTATTACCCACAAAGCTGATTACCCGCAATTCGTATTACCCACAAAGCTTATTACCCACAAAGCTTATTACCCACAATTCTTATTACCCCTCGTCAGGAAAATGAAATTGGAGATAAGAAAGAAAAAGAAAGAGGCTTTCCTTGCAATAGCTAATACTTATTCTTAATAAAATATATAATATGGGGAAAGCCTCTTTCTTTTTCTTTCTTTCTCCGATTTCATTTTCCTGATGAGGGGTAATAAGAATTGTGGGTAATAAGCTTTGTGGGTAATACGAATTGTGGGTAATCAGCTTTGTGGGTAATAAGAATTGTGGGTAATAAACAATGTGTATTACACAGCTAATTTTTATTTATCTAAGCAGTTTTCTTTCACTCATATAACTATCTGATTTAGTTCATTAATCCGAATAATGAATATAAAAATGAAGATATCTATTCATCACCCCTTTTCTCAAAAAAAAGGGGGGGAGAAGTTTATGTCTCAACGAATCACACGTAGAGATATTGATAATACACATAGAGTTAATGGTATTTCATAACTAATTGATTGAGCAGCAGCTCGTAGACCACCTAAAAAGGAATATTTATTATTGGATCCATATCCTGACATAAGAAGGCCGATGGGAGCAACACTTGAAATGGCAATCCATAAAAAAACACCGATCTGCAGATCTGCTAAAACAAGGCGATAACCAAAAGGAATTACTGAATAGCTTAGTAAAATTGATATGACTGCTATGGATGGTCCGATACTGAATAAACGCGTATCACCTCTAGATGGAAGCAGATTTTCTTTAAAAAGTAGTTTTGTGCCATCTGCTAAAGCTTGAAGAACTCCCAAAGGACCAGCATATTCAGGTCCAATACGTTGTTGTATCCCGGCGGATATTTCTCTTTCTAACCATACAATTACTAGTACGCCGATTGTGATTCCCAATACAGTAGTCAAAATAGGGACAAGCACCCATAGAATTCCATAGACTTCTTTTAAGAATTCCAATCTCGAAAAAGAATTGATATCTTGGACTTGTGATGTATCAATTATCATTTTAACGATCAACTTCTCCCATAATGATATCTATGCTACCTAGTATTGTCATAATATCAGCCAATTTCATTCTTTTAACTAACTGAGGAAGAATTTGCAAATTGATAAAACCCGGCGGGCGAATTTTCCATCTCCAAGGAAAACCACCCTGATCCCCTATCAAAAAAATGCCCAATTCCCCTTTTGGGGCTTCGACTCTCACATACAGTTCTTGTTTCGCCAATTCAAAAGTTGGCGAAGGTTTTTTACTAATGAATCGATAGTCAAAGTCATTCCATTCCGGAGACTGTCCTCGATCAAAAGATCGTATTTCTAAATTTTCATAAGGTCCCCCTGGAATTCCTTCCAAAGCTTGTTGAATAATTTTTATGGATTCCGTCATCTCACCAAGTCTGACTAAATAACGAGCTAATGAATCTCCTTCTTTTTGCCACTGAACTTCCCAATCAAATTCGTCATAACACTCATAATGATCAACTTTACGAAGATCCCATGGTATTCCGGAAGCTCGCAGCATTGGTCCTGATAACCCCCAATTTATTACCTCTTCTCCAGAAATAATGCCTACTCCCTCAACTCGTTCTAAAAAAATAGGATTTTGTGTAATAAGTTTTTGATATTCAGCAACCGCTGTCAAAAAATAATCGCAGAAATCCAAACATTTATCTATCCATCCATGAGGTAGATCAGCCGCGACTCCCCCGATACGAAAATAATTATGCATCATTCTCATACCGGTGGCTGCTTCGAATAGATCATATACTAATTCTCTTTCTCTGAAAATATAGAAGAA